GGGCTTGCAAGTTGTTACAGTCTTCACGCCAACAATACAGGTTAGATTTGTTTTACATAATCTAAATCATTGTTAAATATATATATATATGTTCAATATTGGTTTCCATATTTGTATTCATTTGTTAGACAAATATATCAGTATCCGAATCGAAAAGATGAATTATTTGAGCATAATATGATGTATTTTTGTGTCATGAGTGGGTATCGGGACTGTACAAATCTTACAAACTGTTTCTTCAGCTCTAAATTGTGGTTTCATTATTGGCAGCCAATACTTTGTGTGTCTGATGTGGTAGTATAGTGCACCAGAAATTTCACATGGGTTTGTATTTATCTTGTAAAATAGTAAGATAATAGTGTTTGAGTAATACATTGATATCCCGAAATAGAAATAAAAAAAATGTTTCACAGTTTACTCAAAATCGACATAGTAAACGGAACTGTTTTGATGCCATTAACGACCGAATCTGTATTATTTAAAATGACATTTATGATATTCGTTTTCACAATCTAATGTGACAAAATTACATAAGAACGAAATTAGTTTTAAGCCAACAAATAGTATTGCAATTTAAGTAATATACATTGCGAGTGACAAGTGACTTGTGAGGGGGGGGACATTGTAGTAATCTGTGGTGAACGAGTATTGCAAGAATACGCCGTCTCTGCACCCAGCTGTGGCGTCGCACTACACTACGCTAGTGTTATACTACCCACATCGTCGTTGCGGGTCGACTGTCTATACCTGAGTGCGAAGATGTGCGTACGGGAGTTACATCTACATATTATTACTGTTACCCCCATCTCATCAGTGTTTCCAAAGCATACAAGTGGATGTTAACGGCAACTTTCTTGTCTATGTAATTGTTATTCTCCGATAATACGGAGGGCCAGAGATTTGGGGAACACTTTGAAGTCATAAAAAAATGCGTAGCAAGCGATCACGCAGTCGAAATAACCCCGCAGTCCTACAATAATATCGTAGTAGCCGAGTCAAGCAACGCACAAAGATAAGACTTCTTCTTGAAAACTGCCAACTCAATTTGATACCACGTATCAATGCAATTGAACTGGTAGTTTTCAAGAAAAAGTGGCAGTGGCCCAAGACACCTACATACCAAGTATCATGTATTTGATCTGGTAGATTTCATCTTTTATGACAGTGGAGATGAAATAGGACACCTGAGATCAAGGAAACTTTCCGTTCATTTATGCATACTATGACATCCATACCTGACAATTATATTCAAGTCACGTCGGACTTATGCTAAATAACTTACACTGGTTTTCACACCTTTGATATAAGAATCAAAACCTACATAAAATTATATATGTCATACTTGTCAATTGTTCCACTTAAAATTACTGAAAATACTGCAGGTTAGAAGACTTTGGTTAATATTGATATTTAATTAACAGGAAAGATATGTCTTGCTCACTTTCTAATTGGAATGTTTGCTTTTATATACTTTCTTGTTTCGTTTGAATTATTATGACTTAAATGAATCCTCCAAGTAGTCAAAATCGTCGAGGGAATGACTACTGACATCATGGAAAATGGACTCGTTGATATCAATGCAATTCAAAATATGAACACATCATTATTATGCTGGTAATAAATTCTAGTACTACTAAATCGTCATCAAAATTATGTTACATCATTTTAATTTTACATAAACATATATTAACTATTTGTTTACAGCAAAACAAACGTTTTACCTCGACTTTCATGAACTTTGATTTTACAGAGAATAAATCAATGTAGCCAACTCATCTTGCCAGACAGGGATCAAAATATAACAAAGATGCTAAAAATATTTAAATGATGACACAAAGCAGTTATATTGCGGATACATAGGTAGCACTGTGAAATAGACGTAACTGGGCTTGCAAGTTTTGACATAGACTGTCGACAGTTCTCAGTATACGAAATCAGCAAACGCCGAAGGCATTTCAGTGATGGCCGGTACAGATAACTCTTGTTTCTGAACAGAGAATGATTGATAGCTAATGCAACGTCACGCAGCAACAAGCCAATAACAGATTCGGTGGACACGTCATTTCGCAATTTATTCAATTCGTCGATGACCGGAAAAATCTGCAAATAATGCAGTGATAATAAATACGCTTTGACGTTAATGAATTTTTGTTATAAAACTTTGAAAATATCTGCCCATCACGAAAGAGCTGCAAAAAAAAGCACATGGATCCGTAACCTTTATTTTGTTCACCTCTAAGCAGGAAATGAGCATTGACACGTAGATCGCCGCAAACCAACCGATCTGACACATACCGCGCGTGGAACTATGGGAAAAGTGGTCGGAACTATTTCCACTTTGTGTCAACACAGGTGGCGCTATTCGGTTGGTTTGCGGCGATCTGCGTGTCATGCAATATTGAAAAAGTTAGACCTTTGACCTCCCAATTTACTGCATTTTAATGTTAATAAAATAATATTCTGATGAGTGTTGTGTGTATTTTAATTGATCACTCATTAAAAGATATAAATCTTGCTAAAAATC